AGTGGTGGTAAATCTGGTGTCTCTTTCCAGATAACAGTTCTTGGAAATAAACTACATTTGCAGAGCTCAAAACATTTTTAAATTTCCTGGAGACAAGGAGGATCTATAAGTTAGAATAAGAGTAGGACCCTGAGTTCTGATTTTAGGAGAGTGAATGTTTGTTATTGAAGAGAAAGGAAATTACCTTGGGCAAATTGTTTTCTTTTTCATAGCTTCTTAAGGTCAATTTTGTTGCCATAATTGTCATCACTGTCATCATCATCATCGCGTAAATAACATTTAGTAAGAACTTACTATGTGCCAGGCATTGTATCACATGATTTATATTTGTTATTTATTTTAATTCTCTCAACATTCTTATGAGGTAGATATCATACTCATTTTGAAGATGAATCAATTACAAAAACCGAGAACTTGTTTCTGGAATCCAGCTCGGGTCTATATAACTATGGAGCTCAAGTTTTCTATGGCATCTAAAACATCTTCTAGTGTGTAAGGGTCAATATCTCTTTGTGAGCTTCTATCAGTTAGATTGGCATCATGGAGAGACTTGCTGTTATAAAGTGGTTGAGGCCAAGTGTGGCTGGGAGAGGTAGGAAGACTGGATATTGGAATGTGGGGGGATGGTGTAGAAGATGATTCATAGAGAGCTGGACATGTGAAGAATGTGGATTTGGGGGAGATGAGTTAGAGAATCAAAGGGGAATTGGCTTGAGGGGACTGCATTCCAGAAGACTTGTGTGTGGGAATAGTTTTTTCCACACCCTTGCTCGAAAACTCAGCCTTTTAAATTCAGCTGTCTTTTAGTCTGTGTAGATCCACAGTTGACTGCCCTTACTGGCATTCAGCATCTAGTCCCTAAATAGAGAGTGGTATCAGATAATACGTAACTATCCCTAGCAGCTCTGATTCAACTTAAGACAGATGGAGAGATGGTCATGTCTCTCTCTCTCTCTCTCCCGTCATCTCTGTATTCTTCGTCAACATCTTAATCCCTTCTTGATCCAGGTTCCTGTATCTCCTACCACCAAGTTAATCAGTCGACTCTTACCTGTATCAAATGGCCTACACCTTTTCTAGCCTCACCCCCATACCTAAGAATCAGTTTTAAAATAAAATTAAGCAAAGTTTTGTTTATTTAACTTGTTAAACATTACTTAATCTATAATATCCTTCATGGATGTAGTATGGGAAGAGCATGACATTCAGCAAATCTATCTGCCACTTAGCATTAAGTCATTGTCCATTACTTATATTTTAGTAAATTAGGAGAAGCAGAATTTCTTCCTCCAATAATAACCAGCTGAGAAGGAATATTTGATACAAGCGCCTGAAGCATGGGTCAGACTCCAAAGAATAAAGGCATAGGGTTAGAGAAAAGGGAGTTGTGATATTGAAAGAGAAGATGTGATGGTACAGAGTAAACACTTGTACTTCAGTGGAAAGAGAATTTTGGGATCAGAATAGCCAAGTCAGAGTTCTCTCTCCATGCAGTTAGTTTAGCAGCAAGAGTCTAGTTCTATTTCCATTCTACCATGAACTTATAACAGGGTCACATGATTGCTTATACAGGGTCTTATGTGCAAATAAATGTAGCTTCTTTATTTTTTAACAAGTGATATTATTTTCCTCACAAGTGTCACCATGCTGGATAGTAGAGAAAAAAATAGCTAAAATTTTGACAAATTTAGCACACTTATTTCTGTGCCAAAAAAAAAAAAAATCAAATAGTCCTTGTAAGTAAGTGATCGTTTTATTTAGAAATTAATTTGTTCCATTAGGATTCTACCCTCTCCCTCTTTCTAACCCTGATCTCATTTAAGTTGTGTCAAAATATATGGGTGGGGTGTGCAGTTCACTTGACCCAGGATGGTGAAGGAACAAAGAGTTCTCATATCTATACAGTCAGTGTCTTCCACGTATTGGTGATCTCTGCTGCAGGGTGGCTGACCTGGGCTGCTTTCTAGACTGGTGACTGGATATGAAAGCAATTCTATCTCTGAGCACTCTGCTGACCCCTGATGCTAATGGCTGTGAATGATATAACTCAAAGTTTGGTTTCCCTGTTTGGTCAGGGCTGGTGATGCTCCCATTCTAATTAATCTCACCTAAACTTTGGTGTGGATTATAAACCTCCAATGATTTTCTTTCACTTTCTCTGTTCATTCTCAGCCAAGCCCACAGGGCTCAATCATTTCACCCCTGGCCACTGAGAACCCCATGACCATCCACTAACTCTCAGCTCAGACTTCATCTGTGCCCTGCTTCAGGAGCATCTAGGATGTTGGATTCCATCCATACCACACAGAGAGTGGCCCTTTCTTTGCCTCACTGCCCTGCTTCTCTTCAGTGACTTTAATGTCACCACATACAGCTTGTTTTGTGAGCAGCCTGTGGGGCTCTTGCCTTCAAGAGGACTCATTGTGAAGCAGGGAGAGGCCTCCTGCCCTTGATATTCCCCTCAGTGTATTCCAGAGGCAGCACAGTAAAGGACTATCAGGACACACCTCTGATCATCTACCTACTCTGCCTCTGTATTCCTTTGTTTCCTCTTATTTCCTTCATTCTCTTCCTGTCTGAGCAGGACTTTCTTTAGGTAAAACTCTTATGTTCTAGTAAATTTCTTAGGCCTAGACCCTGGTGTGTTAAAGGGGGTTAAAGGAAAATAGAAAATCCTTATTTCTCAGCCAAGGTCCATATTTCATGACTATTATCTTCATGAAAATGCTGTCAGACTCAAAGTGGTGTCTTCTTTGTTCCTGCCCTCTCTCTCTCTTTCTCTATCTCTCTCTCTTTTTAGCTATGAGCCTCATGGTGAAACCTTCAGAGTAGAAAGCTTACTGAATGCATGACTTAAGGAGGCAGTTTAAATGCTTTGATTTATTGTTTGCAAAATATTTTCCTGTTATACTACAAAATGGTTCCTGTGAACTATAAAATCAATGTGTCATGGTAGAATGGCAGAAATTCTGAAAGATACAAAGACGATTGAGGAATTAAATGACTTTTGCTTAGTGTTAGTGTAAATCTGACCTAAGAGCTGAAATAGATTTTGCTTGCAATGGGATGTAGGAAGTTGAGGAATCTAAAGAGATTTATAATCATACATAGAAAGGATTTTAAGGTTGTTTGACAGATACTAATATGTCTGAATATCCTTTTTTCTAGGAAGGGAATGTAATTTTCCAGGATGATCTGATTTAGTTGGTATGACAAAATTGGTAAAGCAATGGCCAAAAGATTGTCAGCTTCCTCTTATTGTTCCCACAAAATAATTACTTATCTCCCCAAAAAATATCATATGGTTTAAGTGGCACAGTGGGTACTGACAGTGGTTGAAATTTAGGACAGTGGACTGTTGTGGAAACAGGCTAACTTTTCATGCTATTTAGTGTATGCAACTTAAGAGCCCACTATGTCCACAGTGTTTTCTGATTCTTCAACTGGCTTGCCTAAGACATAGCAAAGTTTATTAGTCTTTCCAACAGTATACAACAGGGACTGCCTACTATGCCTCAGTTGTACATATTTAATGTACCCAATGTCAGATACTACATCTATCTCTCTAGCTCTCTTCCTATTTATATCTACTCTCCATATCTTTCTATCATCTATCTATCCATGTCACTACTGAAATACAATGCTAGTGATGGTGCTTGGTATTGGAATGTATTAGTAAAGTGTGTTTGAACAGACCTCAATATAATCTACAGTTATTTTAGAATCATACAGAATCATAGATTGCCAGAGCCAAAAAGAACTTCTAATTCTCTAAGTTAGGGTTATAGACATGGGTTTTAGTTCTCCATAAACAACCTGAAATCATATGTTAAGTTTTATGTATGTATAAATTATTTGAAGGAAAGAGGCTATAGATTTTATGAAATTCTCAAAAAAATATATGATTCCCCAACATATTAAAAACCCCTGATTCAATCCCTTTATTTTACACATGAGGAAGCCAAGGAAAACTGAGAAAGTGATTTGCACAAGTGCAAAAGCAAGTGGCTGTACCGTTTTGACTAAATGGTGCTTCTTAAAATGCTCACAACAGAGCTGCATTGACTGGCTCCTGCTTACCTTTCCATCCTCATAACTTCCTTCTCTTTGCTTCACAGTCTGTCATAGTGGACATTTTGGGGTTCTCTGAATGTGCTCATTGCCCCTCTGAGCCTTTGTGCCTGCAGCTCGTGCAGACATTCACTTTCAGGTGTGTGCACAGCCTGACCCTGCACTTGCACACCCCTGAGAGTGTGTGTCTCTTTAAGATATATTCCCTGGACATCTCCCTCAGCTCACCCTAGTCCCAGTCCTGCCTGACACAGTGCCTAAAACATATTATGTATTTAATAATATGTCTTAAATGAATGATTGCGTGATTGTCCCTGAAGTTGGAATCTATTAGGTAGAATTTGACTTGGAAATTAGGCCTGTCTAAATATTTCACTAGTCTCGCATTCTTCCTTTATGAGATTCCTACAGAAGCTGCTAGTCACATTAAAAAAAATAACAAATGAGAATCAAAGAACCATTTATTACTGCAGCCGGAATTGGATTTCCCAATATAGAGGTTCTGGTTAATCTTGTTTGTAATAAATACCCAGTCTGGTTGGAAGGCCTCAGAGGGCCCCTTACTCCCCTCTAAGCTCCAAATCTGAATCTTCATATGTTAACATCCCTTGTTTGGCTACATGGTACAGGAGACTGACACAGTAATAGGAGTGCTTATTCACACAGGAGGAGGTAGAGGAGCAGCATCCTTGCCTGGAGGCCACGTGCTCATGTGTGCTCTCAAATTCAGAGATTCCTCCTCAAAGGAAATGTGTCTTAACCAGAATTCTGAAATTTGACCAACTGGATGAACCTTCTCCGTGGGATGAGGGGACACAAGAAAGATTGTAGGGAGAAAAATGAGGTCTAAGCTCCATATTCCATGTTGTATATTCATGAAGACTGTCCTTTTATTATATTAGCTGAGAAAAGTGCAGTGCAGGGTGTTGCCTGAGCCCTTTAAACTTCTAACACATTTAAAAATTTTCCAATAAACATTTAATCTCTCATTTGAAAGGAAAATTTCCTTTGCATCATGACCCTCACAGTTGCCTCGCAGCAGTGGGCCTGGGCCATCTCAGGGCATCTCTCAGCGCTTGCTTCACCTTGTCATTGCGGAGAGTGAAGATGAAGGGGTTCAGGAGGGGTGTGACGATACAGCTCAGGACAGAGGCACCTTTGTTGAGCAGCATGGAGTGAGCCTCTGCCATGCGGATGTAGAGAAAGATGGAGCTGCCATAGACGATGACCACCACTGTGAGATGTGAGGCGCACGTGGAGAACGCTTTCCTTTGCTCGGCAGCTGTGGGGGCCCTCAGAACAGTGGCAAGAATGCAGACATAGGAAACTGAGGTCAGAGCCAGCGAGCCCAACAACACCAATGTGGAGAGCACGAAAGCCACCAGCTCCAGCAGGCGAGTGTCCCCACAGGAGAGTCTCAGCAAGGGCCAACTGTCACAAAAGAAGTGGTCAATACCATTCGGGCCACAGAAAGGCAGGCTGACCATGAGGATGGTGGGGCAAAGGACCCAGAGGAATTCAGCTAACCAGGAGGCCAGCACCAGCTGGGAACAGACAGGACCGCTCATCAGGATCTCATAGTGGAGCGGTCGGCAGATGGCCAGGTAACGATCCAGAGACATGACGGCTAGCAGGAAGAAGTCGGTGGTGCCTAGGAGGAAGTAGAGGTAGGACTGCGTGATGCAGCTGGCAAATGAGATGGTATGATCCCCTGTGAGGATGATGACAAGCATCTTGGGAACCACAACAGATACCAGCAATAGTTCCAGGAAGGATAGATTCCGCAGGAAGAAGTACATCTGTGTGTGCAGGCGTCGGTCCGTCCAGCTGAGCATGATAATTAGCAGGTTGCCTGTAGCTGTTATAATGTAGGTCACCATTAACCCCAGGAACATCAGGAACTGCAAGATGTTGCTATTGGGGAAACCCAGAAGAACAAACTCTGTTATCTGAGTCCAGTTTTCAGGGCCCATCTCTAGTCACCTGCAGGGGAAATGAAAGAGAACTTTCTAATTGGTCTATAGCTACCCATCATCAATTAATTAATCAACAAAATCATATCAAGTATTCCTAACACTGTTCCTTACATTCTGATTATATATTGATCTATATTTCTGCCTGCAAGTGACTTACAAAGAGAGAAACAAGTTAATGATAGCAAGCAGTAAAGCAATAATAACATGGATGATATTGCACACAATTATGTATTAGGAAATTTATACTATATGTAGTATCTCTTTTCTGGGTATAATTAAAGGTAGGTTTTATTGTTCTTATAGATAAGGAAAAGATAACTGAGGAAGTTAGTGACTCCTCTATGATCAAATAGGGAGCAGGTGGTAGAGGCAGGATTTCACAACAAGCCTCTGTGACTCCAACACCCATGCTACTTCCACTGTTTTATACACTTAGGCAAAGAACTACGTGGGTACTGTGGTCTTAGAGGAATCCAGAGGAGTAGAGAGATCAGAGGAGACCTTAGAGAATAAATGCACCATGAACAAAATGTTCATGGCATTAAGAACACTTATGAATATTTTAGTATTAGTGGCCCTTAATGTGTCCTGGCTTAACATTAAATAATAGAATTAAAAAATCTGGGATTTCAGTACCTTTAGAAATTTTATTTTCATTAATCAGCCAGAAAGCTAAATAGGGTTGGACTATACAAAGCTCCAACAGTGTCACTAAGTGTTCTTTTTCTTCTTTTCCCCCCACCCAGACTTCTGTAAGTTACAAGAAATCCTTCTCCCTGGTGGAACATTTACCGGCCTTCTCTCAGTCTCATCTCTCCCAACATTCTAATGGCATAAGATGGGGAGAGGGAGCGGGAACGGTATCAAAGGAGATAGAATGTATTAACTTGCCTCTTCAATTTCTGCCTGAGTTTGGAGATATGTTCATCTTGTCCTTGGAACTTTTGGCATCTTGTAAAATTCATCCATAAATTTTTTGAAGGATTGGGTCTCACTAGACGTCTTTGTTCCAGGATTCCTTTTTGGTTTTGTTTTTAAATCTAGCACCAAATACTCAGAAGCACACACAGATCCTGCCTATCAGTTAGGGAAATGGAAAATATCCTAAGACAAAAAGAATAAAAATTACCATCAAGTTACTTTCTTTAATTGACAAAGCATAAAGTGCCAAGTGCTTTGACAAAGTTTAATCCAGGATCATCCATTACTCCAATACCACCAGTGTTAGCGATGAGGAGCACAGATATTTTCTCAATTGTGTCTGAAGCTACTTTAACAAAGAGCATCAAATGAGGCCAGGAATTCAGGTTTGAAGGGTGAAGGAGAGAGACACTCAGGGCGTGTTTTATTTGTATCAATTTGGGCAGGAATAAATCCTGAGATTTAGGTAGCTAGCTAATAATAATGCTTCCTTCTGCTAGTCTGGGGCCTGTATCTCTAAAATCAAAGAAATACCTTAATAAAACCCTTAAAAGGATACTAGAGCACAATTTCAGGATAATATAATCATTTCAGACAAGGAAAGTGTACTACTGTGGCTATTTCCAAAGTATAGGGTAAATATTATTAAAAGTAACTTCTAAAGCCTAGCTGTCAAATACTCAATAGCAGCTTCTATCTACTGTTATAAAATACATACACTGAAGTGTGTTATTCAGAATTCCTTTAATAGTTAATCTGAATAAGTGCTGATCAGTTCCTGAGCATCTTCATCAGTTGGCTCATTATCTCCCATATAATTCAGATAATAACAATATCATCCCTTATATCCATGTTTAAAACTCTGTCATTTTTTTTTAAACTTTGTCATTTTGAATCTCAATATAATATTGTGTGTAGCTTAGAGTCTAGGACAATTTGCTTAACGTCACATAGTTAGAAATTGTTTGTGGTATTGTGGGAAATGGTTTTTTGTTTCCATGTATTTTGCACTAAAAATACTGCTTGACAAGATGAGAATCAGTAAAAGGAATTAGAGCTGTGAGGGGCGCACACACACACACACATTTGCATTTGATTGACTCATGACTTAATTTACACAATTAGCTATTATTATAGTCCACTTTACAATTGAGCAAACTATAACACAACAGATTTAAAAAAACACTCAGAGGTGGAATTAGGATGCACGTTTAAGCTTATCTGACTCTGGTGTCTAACCATGGCACTAGTAAATATGACTATGAAACTTGAACCTGCCAGGGGAAAAAGGATGTGGATTTGGAATGCCACAATATAATGATGCCCAGTAATACCAGCTAGAATTTATTGAGTAGTTACTATATGCCAGAGACTTTACATTCATTTCATTGTTAAATCTCTCAGCAACCATACAAGGCATTATTATTATTTTCACCCTATAGGCAAGGATTAGGGTTAGGGGGATTAAGGACCCATGTTAATGAGTAGTAGAGTTAACAATTATAATTTGAGGTAGTCTGAATTCAGAGCCTTACCTTTTAACTGCTAAACCATAAGGTCTTATATGAGAGAGAGTCTGTGACTACAAATTTGATTTGATATCAACTTCTACTTCTTACTTCGTCTGTTGACTAATGATGGAAATTCTGCACAGAAAAATTAATTGTTGTCCTTTAAAGATTTGATCTTGAAACAATGAAAACTCCCTTTAGAATGCGTGTTAGATTGGTCCTTATCCAATGGACTTTCAGCTCCTCCTCCAGAGCAATGGAAGGCAGGGGTTATGGCCATGAACTTCCCATTCCTAGAAGATGGACTCCCTTCCCTGAACCTTGTCCTTCAAGTTCTATGCTGCATTTATATCATGCAGAAAGTGAAGCATTCTGCTTGGATACAAAGATGAAATATTAATCATGCTTTATTTCTAACCACTAACTATTTATAGATACAGAATCACATTCAAGTACCTACCTATTTTATCAATCCCCAGTAAGTATTCCCTCATGGTATTATACATTTTGCTTGTTATCCTAAATCGGATGGAATCGTCAAAACCACCCCATATCCCTTCTGGAAGATGGGACCTCCTGCCATGCTTATCATAAACCTGCATTTATCAGACCCTTTCTCAATCCCTTCCTCCACACGGACCATTTGGTCTTGAAAATTTCTCCTTGGCTGACTGATGTGTGTATTTAGTGTGCCAAACCTCATTACTCCTTTCATGCCTCCCTCGGCCAAATCCTTCCTACCCTATTGACGACAGCATTACTTGGTTTGTTTCTCTTTCCACTCTGTAGATGTATTCCTGGCATTTTGATGTTAGAATGGATTTCACATCTTGTTAGCGAAGGCTAAATCTAGACTTATTGAATTTTTCCTAAAAGCATGGAAAACCTGCATTGGAATCACCTCGTTTGTTTCTTTAAAATTCTGATTTCTAGGCCCTACCTGTAAAAATGCCATCATTCTCTAGGGTTAGGGACCAGGAATACATATTTTTAACAATTTCTCTGGGTTATTCTTATTTACCCAGAAGTTTGAGAAATATTGGTTTGGGGGAGAAAGAAGAGTGTTGAGCAGGTTTGAGTGTGATTAGGGTAAAGGTGTGAGAGGTAAGTTGGAGATTGAATATAGAAGAACCCAGTATTGGAGGCTGAGTTTTCTAAACTGAAAACATCACTAACTGTCTAAAGTTATAGAACTAACTTTACAGCTGAACCAGCGCAGTAATAAATCCAGGCTTCTGAATTCTTAAAACACTCTAGATGGCTATCTTATGCTCTAATATGTGAATAAGTATGCAGAGATTATTCTTTTCAGGTGTGGGCTGGCTAAGTACCACCATAAAAGTGAGATTGAGCACTTTCTATGTGCCAGGAATTCTACTATTAGACATACAAAGTTGAATAAGCTGTTGGGAGCCCGTAGTGTACTAAGGGTTAGATATCAAAGGATAAATCCCATTGGAACTCAATTAAGGCCATGATAAAAGTAAAATCAAAGTCTTATGGGGGAAGAAAAAGGGAAGGTACATATTTTGTTTGGGGACAGTGTGAAACACTTCATAAAGTTAGTAGCTGGACATTTAAGGATAAATTTTTCCGGATCAAGAAGAAATGAGAGTCTTTCAGGTTTAAAGTAACCAAATACAAAAAATATTGAGTTTTTTCAATATGAAAATGAGATTATGAAAATTATCAAGCTACTGCTTAAAATGCACTTGTAGTCATTATATAAATATATGCTGCTTTAAAGAAGAGAGCATACTATTTGCTGAATGAAAAAATGATTTAAACATGATGGGCTTAAGGGCTCATAGAAGCAGAAGCTGAATTGGCTCTTAAGACAGAAGAAATTTAAACTTTATCTTTAGATCTTTCCTATCTCTGATAATAATACCATAATATACCTATTATATAATATTTTTGCTTTTGAGTAATTATCAAATAATCTTATTGATGTGTTAGAGATGTGAATATTTTGAGATATTTACTTCTTATATAGAAATACTTTAAGTCTTAAAGGCTTTAAGATAAAATAGCTAACAGTGTAATTGTGGAATCAAAAAAAAAATCCTTGAAATTGTTTATGTTGAGTAGGGTACTTTGTCTTGTGCTCTCTCAAATATAATAGGTTACCAGTTTTCCTATGCAAGTAAAACTTGATCTTCACATGAAACTTCAGTGAGTACTTAAGATAAAACTTTCCAAAAGCTGGAGGCTTGATAGATACTTCAGCCCCTAATAAAATATAAAGTTGGGCACATTTTCTGGGTACTCAAAACATGAAAATCAGAACTTCTCATAATGCAATACTGTACTTCATGGGCTCAAATGTTGGTCTATCTCAACAGACCAATAGCTGAACTCAATAGCTGAATATACTAATGGAGGGGTCCCATTCCTATCATCTATCAGTAAACAGATACTGTATAGCTGCAATGAGATGTACAATATTTTTCAATACTCCAAATCTATATGCCTTAAAGTACTTACAAACAAAACTCCTTAATTCCAAAGAGTCCAGTTCTAAGTCAGGAATAAGAATAACTTTTGGGTATACAAAAGTGCCTGAGAGAGGAGACTGGTGTAAGTTGACCC